AGGGGCTCACGAACAGAGTAGAGAGAAATGATGAAACCGAATTCAAACGTTTCTATGAAGGGTCTCTCTCTTGACCGAGATATAGAAGGTGATCGTGAGAGATAATCGAGTGAACGTGCGAGAGAAATCCACCGAAAAATCGCAACAGCTTTCTGGATGGAGGAGAACAAGTCGCCGATGAGATATTCCTCAGTGCTTAGAACTCACGTGCGATTAAATAAAAGATTGGGCCAAAATAATTGCTCACAACGAGCCATGACAATAAAAGGAGAAAGGGCCCAATACAAATAACTAACATTGGGCTGGGATTTAAATTTGATAACACGGCTCGGCTCTCGGGCCCGACTACGTAGCGATAATACGGTTTTTACTCGAGCTCGATAGATTAAATCGGATCGGCTTGCAAATTAAATCGTACAATAAATACATAACCGAATATAATATATTTTTATAATACACACAATTTATTTATTTTTTTTTTAAATAATAATAATATTAGTAAAAATACAAATACTCATTTAATTAATTAGTAACACTTAGACAAATAGACAATTAATTAGTATTTAGACAATTAAGCAATTTGACAAATAAATCACATTCGACAATTAATAATTTATAGCATCCAATAAATAATAATAATAACACATAAATATAAATAATAATAATAATAAAAAATAATCCTCAAAAATTCCATAATTTAAACGGGCTAGATCCGTCTCACGCGATCAAACCGAAATCGTCGAATGACGAACGTTTTTAAATAAAACGGTCGAGTATTCCAACCTTACATTTAAGTCGACATCGCGACTAATAAAACAAATATAACCTCATAAATAGTATTCGATAAATAGAATTTTCCGAGAAATTCTATAGATCAAACGGGGCGTTACAAGAGACCAAGAGGCGGTGTTAAATCGTGACTCCCCGTGTGAACAAAATACTTAGGCTATAATCCACCTGCATCCATTACACACGAATAATACTTTATCATATTAATAAGTATGGGCAAATTTATTTTACACCCAAATATATACATGAATATATATTTTTTTTTACTCAAGGTCCCATCAAAAAAATTATTTTTCACCCCACAACTCACGAAATTATATACAATATTAAAATCGCCTATCTAACTGAACCGCATAATTAACAATTATGTGAAATTTTATCGTATATATACTAACGCATATCCAAATCAGACGCATAGTTAACAATATGAAATATTTTTTCATATTTATTAATAGTATATCTAAATCCATCGCATAATTTTTGTTATGCGAATTTATTTTGTATATATAGTTACCGCATATCTAAATTAATATCAGCATATTTTATGATTATGCGACAAGTTTTAGCATATTTTACATCTTGCATATCCAAATCAGACGCATAATTAACAAGTATGCAAACACGTAAACATATTATTGAATCACATATCCAAATCGAACGTCGCATATTTTATGATTATGCGACATGTTTTTTCATAGTTTACGACTCGCGTATTTAAATCCACCGCTTAATTTACCATATGCGATAACGTTTCGCATATTCAAGAATCGCATATCCAAATCGATCGCCACATATTTTATGATTATGCAACATAATTTTGCATTGTTTACGACTTGCATATTTAAATTCACCGCCTAATTTACCATATGCGATAACGTTTTGCATGTTCATATACGGTTTGAGGGACGTTGAACGGAATTGAGATAGTTTGCACTACTAGTTATATTTAAATTTTATTTTTAAAAATATGGAAATACAAAACCACATATACATCCCCGTGACGTGCAGCCGAAGATTCTCTTACATGTTAAAATGTCGAAACATTTAAATTTACGTGTGCGTTGATACGTAAATTCGCCCGCGACCCGCAGAACATTCAAAAGAAATTGCAAAAGTCATCATCAACTTGCATTAAACTTACTTATTCAATCAAACCGTGATACCAATTCACTGGTCAAACAATTACAATTCGCATCCTACGAAACTTCCTCACCATCTCATCAAAAAACTCAAAACCAACATATAGTACCATCCAAACAAAACCTTTACTAGACCAAAAGACAAAAAAGAAAAGAACAGCTCTCATCATCTCATGGAATTTTTCAACAAGGCGAAAGCTGTCCGGCTCAAAAGCCATCTCGACAAGTACCTCGTGGCCGATGACGACGAGCAGTCCGTTCGGCAGAGCCGCAACGGCTCGTCCAGGAAGGCCCGGTGGCTGGTCGAGCCCGTCGGGAGTACCAATCCCCACGTCATCCGCCTCAAGAGCTGCCACGGCCGCTACCTCACGGCCTCAGACGAGGCCCACCTGCTCGGCATGACCGGGAAAAAGGTGCTGCAGACGGCTCCACCCGAGACCACAACATCAGACCCGTCGCTCGAGTGGGAGCCTATCAAGGAGGGATTCAGAGTGAAGCTGAGGACCAAAGGGGGAAAGTTCCTCAGGGCCAACGGCGCCACTCCGCCCTGGAGAAATTCAGTCACCCATGACCTTCCGCACCGGACGGCCACTCAGGATTGGGTCCTCTGGGATATCGACGTTGTTGATGTCTCCGTTTTCGAGTACTCACCGAGCAATTCTGTCTCCAGTTTCAGTTCGGTGGGGGACGATTACTCGCCTTGTCGAAATTCGCCGATTTCGGCCAGATCTGAAGGCCGAGCGACGTCGTTTGCTTCTGAGGTTCTTCGGAGATCATATATGGCGGCGTTGGAAAGAAATTCGGATAATAGTGGCAGACAAGTTCATTCTCTCTCCAGATCTGTAAGTTGAATACTCGAATTGAGATGAAAATCAGCTGGGTTTTCAAAATTTTGGTTTGACCTAGATTTGATTTGTGAAATTAATTAGTTTTAATGTACAGGAGGGGATGGATTTTTTCGAGAAAGCAAGAGCAGTACGGCTGCAGAGTCACCTGGGGAAATACCTGGTGGCGGACGAGGACGAGGTGACGGTCCGTCAGAGCCGTAACGGGGCGTCGCACAGGGCACATTGGGTGGTGGAGTTTGTGGAGGGAAAACGTGAGAGGATCCGTTTGAAGAGCTTCCATGGGCTGTACCTAACGGCGTCAGACGAGCCGTTTTTGCTGGGCATGACTGGGAAGAAGGTCCTCCAGAGCCTGCCGCTGCCGGAGACGGACGTGAGGGTGGAGTGGGAGCCGGTGAGGGAGGGTGCGGGTTTGAAGCTGATGACAGCGGAAGGAAAGTTTCTGAGGGCCAACGGCGGGGCGCCGCCGTGGAGGAATTCGGTCACGCACGACGTGCCGCACAGGACGGCCACACAGAGCTGGGTGGTGTGGGGAGTGGAGGTAGTGGATATTTCAGTTTCGGATGTGGATCCGGGTTCGGGTTGTTTGTCACCTGCCTCCAGTTTTTCGTCCTATTCGGGTACGCCAGATACCGGGTCGCCCATGGCAATGTGTCGGTATTCTTCCATGCCTCGAAATATGTCCACCACGACACAGGTAACAGGTTATTTTTATTTTTTATTTTCATTAATTTTACTAATTAAGAAAATATATTAAAAAGAAAAATGATACAAGTACATTTATGTACATATAGAGGTGTACATAACACTCACATGGAGTGGAGTCCACATAGACTATCTCCAGCCCTTATCCACTTAGACTATCTCCAGCCCTTATTTCTACTCTAGTGGTGATTTTACTCTACTCTACAGTAGAGTGAAACATTTGTCTCCAGCCCTTATCTCTAACATTTTATTCTACATCAAATATATTATTTTTTATTTATTTTTATTTCAATAATTTGGTATATATAAGTGTATTTAATCTTATATAAATGTTTATTACCCAAACAATAAAATTTTATTTTATTTATTTTTATTTCAAATGAATTGCTATATATTTTTATTATGTTGTTTTATTTGTGTATTTTATGATTTACATTTGTTTTAAACTTTTAAAGTTAATGAAATCTACTTGTTTGATTGTGTTAAACTTTTATTCATATGGTACTATTTTAATATTAAAAAATTATATACATCAATAAATAAAAAATACAAAATTATTTAGCACAAAAATACATTTATTAATACGCATTATACAAAAATTTATCATTAATATTACATTAAAGTACATAAAAAAAAATATATGTAGAGTTGCTACAGTGGTGGACCACATCTGGCACAATACTGTTTATTTTTCTACTCCAACGCAGTGATGTGGCGCAGGTTTGGATAGCACTGCCTGCACTGGAGTAGCTCTTAATTTTTCATTTGAAAAATGCTATAAGTAACACTCACAGTGGGTCCACACACTGGTATTTATTTTGTCATAAAACAGCAACATGTCGTATAAGAGCATCTCTAATAACCTTCCTCCACAAACCTCATTTATCTATTCCCAATATGCCACATCATCCAAAACCTCATTTTTACTCCTACACCTATAAACCTCCAATAATAACAAACTTTATAAACCTTTTTTTTATGAGTCCCACATGTTTCCCACTTATTTTTATAATTAATATTATACTCTTATTTTTAATTAATATTTTAAAACTATAACATCAATTTTATTTTTATATAATTTAAAGGTTTCACATATTTATTATAAATACATACCAAAATAATAATATAATTATATGTAACTATATTGCACTATTTATGAATTGTGTCAATTTTTATAATTAAAGTAAAACATATTTTCTAATAATATGAAATATTAAATATTAATTATTATGATTTTTTTCAAAAAAAGGAATGAAATTTAAAAAAAAAATTATTTGTCTTTCTATTGTTGAAATGATTTAATATTTAAATTGCTACTACAAAAAATAAGAAGCAAAAGAAAAAATAGAAAGAAGAATCAAAGGAAATGAAGAAGCACATGTCGTGGCAGGTGGTGGGCCAATAAAAATATGGAGGTTTAATGGAGATTTGTACAGACAAACCTACTTTATGTCCACAAACCTTAAACCTATATACCTTATAATAGAAAACCTCAAGATTTGTATTTGTAAATCTCACTCAAAATCCCTTATTAGAGATGCTCTAAACCTCACCTGTACATAATGCCAAGGCATGATGATATGAAGATCGGTGACTGGTGAGAAGGTATAAAATATACTGAAATTACATTTGGCAGAAATGCAAATATTATTTGATAAAATACTATCAATTATCAACATGGGTAGAAGAATACATTCAACTATTTTTTTTTTTTTTAAAAGTAAATACAGTAAACATCACGGCTCACTATTAAAATAGATAAAAAAAAATGATTAAACGATTAATGGGGCGAGTGTCCAGCTTTGCATTAATAATGGAGATCGTTCATGGAATTTGGATTTTCGCGTAGTACAACTGTCATTAGGCTTAGTCAATGATAATAAATCTTTGTGAACCTAAAGATTGAGAAATGACAGCAGCAAATTTAATGAAATGTTCTCCGCTGGAAAGATGGTTTGATTTAATATTAGATTTTGTTATAACTTTTAATGATATTATTTTTAAAATTATAAATTAAATGGTTTGACATATTAAATTGGTAGTTAGAAATGTGTGATTGGGTAAATAGTACTTTTCATTAAAATTGTAACATAATTATTGATTTTTATTTCTTAATCCTGGTGTAAGATTGTAAGGAAAAACTGAAATGAGTTTTTTTCGTTGGTCTTTTTTTTGTTCACTAGCGTGTACCCCGTGCGATGCACGGGAACAATATTATAAATAGAGCTCGAGTTTGAGTCACTCAATGGTGGAAGTGGAAACTACTCTTAATCCTATTTAAAAATAGAAAGAAAAAAAATAATTATAAATTAAAGAAGAGGATAAACAATACTTAATAATTATAAATTAAAGATTTGGGGTCAGACAATGCAAAATTATTTTGTATAAGAGAATATTAAAAATTTGATTACACAACATTTCAAAATTATTATTATACTTTTTTGTATGGTTAGCTTATAATATTTGTAAAAATATTAGTAATTAGACCGATGAAAATTAGCTTCTTAAAGTAGATAATGAATTTCTAGTAGTAATTATGAATTGGTTTCTATTTTATTTTATTTTTCTTTTTAAAAATAATGGATTTCTAGTAGTAATTATGAATTGGTTTCTATTTTATTTTATTTTTTCAAATCTGTATAGATAAGGGATGATATTTTGTAAACACGAGAAGTATGCAATGAGATTTTGTAACAGAAGAGATAAGCTCGTGTAGATTTATACTAAAAAATAGTAAAAAGAAAAACAAATATTTATTGTTATATTTATTGTCAAATAACGGTTTTGATAAACTAAAAAACAGGAAAAAGAGAAACAAATCTTTACACAATTAATGAGCCGATTTTTTTGCTTATTTAGATTTGTCCAGCAATTATTATTTAATGATTTTGGCGGGAAAATGTTTCTAAATTTGTAAAAAGGTTATTCTTTTTATATAATGATAGATATCTTATTTGAATGGGATAAATATTGTTGTAGTTAATTAATTTGATAACCAAACGTGGAAGTCAAATTCCTAAGTTTATGCGGACGAGTAGATAATCTACAACTGTAAATTAATAGTTATCATTTTCTATTGCACACATAATTATTAAGTCATAGGAGTAAATTTTTTCCGCAATCTTTGATATTTTCTTCATTTTGTTTTAAAAAATTATGAAAAAAATTACTAACTTAAATTATAAGTAGTTTAAAAGTTAATATCTTTTTATTTATTATCAATAATTATACATAATATATTAAATTAATCATGTCTTGATGAAATTCGATTTGATGGTTACATTGTACACACAAAATAAGTAATAATTATATTTATTTTTATAGTAAAAATTAAACTACCTGTTAATATTAATTAAATTGAATTAACTACAAAATTATTAAATAATATAATTTTAAAAAAATTATTATAATATAAGATGGTAAGCCATATAAGTGATATGTATTATTTTAAATATAAATGTTAATATAATTATTCAAAAAAGTATTTGAAAATTCAAATAATTTTTTTATTATGTGCGAATAATGAACCATATAAAGCCGTTCACATGATTCTTACAAAGACAGTAAGACACTACACATGCATGAATCAATGTTTCCAAGTCTAATTCTTGATAATTAGTTATGTAATTATTCCATCTGAAACACCAAAAATGAATGATGAAATCCAAATCTACATAAAGCTATCATCATCTTTCACTTTCAAACGCTCCCACATCACACACACGACTTAATATTCCCAATTTCCTACCAACATATTTCTCTTCTTCTTTGATTTTTCTTTAATTAGTTATTTTTCTTTT